CTCGTGTTCGTATCCCAGAAGCACGTGCAAAGCTCATTCAACGAAGAGATGGATATGTATACTTCGTTAGTTTCCATACTGTTGACACGAAAACTGGTCCCCACTTTGCTATTCAAGCAAGGGTGTGGTTACTGTATCTTCAAGCCAAGTGTAGACATAGAATTCACGCGTGTAACTGGTCATAGGGACGCAGAGAATGATAGAAATGTTGAATGCGGATCGACCGCTCGCTGTTGCAAGGGCACGCAGCGTAGATGTTCGGAGGAAGTTCTGTGTCTACACTTATCTTGAGGATAGCTTATCGACATCAATAATGCTTGCGGAAGAAAACTGAAAAGTGATCGGGCTTGCTGCGCAAGGAGGGCACAAATCGATAAGTATCAAAAGTGGGGGGCCATGTGGTCTGTTGAACGATGCTTGTGCAACTCGTCCCGCGACCGCGCGCGTCATCCCGCATGCGCTGCGTGTACTTTTCCGTACAAGTAGCGATGCCTCCATTTTCATGTACACTTAGAGAGCGACTAAACAAGCTTCTTAGCTCTAATCGATTACATTCTCTAGAGCTCGGAAATCCTTGATATATCTTTGGGGACCAGTTCTCCCTTGCTATTTCCCCCTGTAAACAATGTAAACACACCATTTCCAGCTGGCAAAACTTGTTTGGCAACCTAGCGGCCCAAAACTTGGTCTAGGTATTAAACACTTCCAAAATCGTGTGCTTGTCTCACGATGTGACGTCGGTTCACTTTCAGCTACACAGCTAGCGGTAAGTATTGATTGGATTTTATCGTAGATCAGACCTACCTCAGCTCACTTTGAACCTAGGTTGGCGATCATATAATCGATATTGACGGTGTACCTGTCACTGACAAGGATGTGGCCAGAGACCTACTGATTAAGGCATTACAGGTACAGGGATCTCCACCTACAGTACCCTGAAACTGAAAGATAAATTTCTGCATTCAGGAAAAACGAGAGGTGACATCGGTGGTGGAACGCCCTGATACGATGGAAGCGAAACATTGGACTCAGCAAGCTCTTGTTACACAGGTAACTGGAATTAGCGTTTATACTGCCAGTCGACTATAAACACAGTGGAAAGTAAAATCAATAATACAGGTCTGTCAACCACCATCGGTACAAATGAACTCCGATGTTCGTGCCATAGCAGCCAGAGAGCGTGCAAGAGTTAAGCAGCCAAAACCGGTAAGTTACTTGCTTCAATCTCCTAACCTAATCAGTATTTGGCCCAGCAATAAGATCTGAACCAAAGTTGAGGTTATGACTTCAGTAACTGTATAGCGAAACTGTATTTCGTCCAAATAACTTTTAGACAGCGGAAATAAACAAGAAAATGGATTTGCAAAACAAGTGCACTTAGAGAGAATCGAACCAGCGATCCTCATCCCGCCAGACTGACGCACTAGCCACTGCGCCATAGCCAGTGGATGCTGCGGCACGGCTCGCTGTTTAACAGCGCTCATGCTGATTTCTGTTAGGTTGAACTGAACTGGGCAAAAGCAGCTTTTGTCATCTATATCGCTGAGCTGAAAGCTTGACTTTGGTTCTACTTCCAGCGCTGGGTCAGATATCCAGTACCAGCACTTCCCACA